TACTTGGAAGCCATGTCAAATAATCATGAAAACAGAACAGCTTGTGTTTAATTTGTCTGTGAGGCATTTAATTTCCACTGTGGTGCAGAAGGTGTTTTCACAGACTTTAATCGTGACATACCATGAATCGAATGATTGTTGATTCTTGTGCACAGCAGACATTCGGTGTCAACCATCATGACACAAAGTGTAAGGTGGCTCCAATGTGTGCATCGCACATTTTCTATCAGTGTTTTATTCATATCTGCCTAGGAATGCAAATGTTCTGGAACTGTAAGTGGATCCAGTTATTATGAATATCACTTGGTTCCAGTATTTTATAAATTGATGTAGTTCTGGTTATGAGCTGGTTAATAACCCTAATGGTCCCAGTTATCAAAAGTTTGAAATTATCTTTGAAATGAACAATTATTGGCGTGTTATTGAGTGTTGTGCAAAGAACAAGAATTTAAACTGTCAGTGCAGCATAATACTGGCTCTTTATTATTGAATGAAAACTTTAGACTTGCTACTTTTTCACTTATTTTGGATTTCTTCTGTTTTCTTATAGAATTGAAATACAAACCACTGCACTGCTGCCTTCATTTGAAGGCTGCCATCTATAATAGCAGGCAATTTATAATCATGATTTGGTCTAAAAAACATACAGTGGACATGTAAAAATATTGATATAATGTTATATTGTAACTAATTAGGCTAGTCATTCAAATTAGTAATTTATAAAATTAATCATTGTACATTTTTCTGTTTGTTTTTTTTCGATTATTAAAAAGTAGTTGTTTACATTTGTCGATAGGAATAAGACATATAAAACATATCTATAAAATGGTAAAAACGTATTGTAACTAAATAAATATATTTATGATATAAAGCATCCATAAATATTTTAGTTGTAAATCCATAATACTGCTTTCCTTGTAGATGCTGTCTGTATATTCTATATATTGAAGTTTCAGCATCTACTCAGACATACACAAAAGCATGTTTTGTACCTGTAAATGTTGCATACAAATACCTACATATAAACAACGTGACCAGACTAGCAGATCTGTATTACACGGCTATGGATGTTAATGATGTTAGTACATCATTGCAGTCATTGAAGGTAAGTGATGGTAAATAACGTGGGTTCTAGAAGCTGAGAGATTTGGCCACCGCACACTGATAGTAACCGGTTCCAGCCAGCGAGCGTCTGTGAGGGAGAAATGCAGACTGAAGCAAATATCATCAGAGTGGGTTTGTTGCGTAAATGTACGCAGGGATATCTGAGCTTTGCGTTATTTGTTTGACGCTTGCAGGAAGTGGATGTTAAAGTGTAGCTCTCTAATCCATGTGTGTAAATTCGAGTCTTAAACAAACACATGTGTGTCACCAGCTGCATTAAGAGAGAGAAGAGGAGGACGGAGATAATGAGTGAATTCCTCATATCTGTACTTGCTTTAGAAAAGAAATGTCTTAGCTCAGTGTGTAGCCTCAAGGATTACTAAAATGCACACACTTAACTAGCATGCTAAAAATATATCCATACACTTATATCGTTTTCATTTTAAAGTTAAGCCTACTCCTTAAATAATGTTTTACATTTTATTTTAGGATTTTATTCAATTAAAATGTAGTAAAGCAAGTAGAATGAATGAATGAAGCCAATTCAACAAATGTGAATAAAAAAGAAAAATTAATGAATAAAATTATTACTTTTATACTGAACTAATGGTATTTTCTATTACCTAATCTAACCCTCTTATAAATCTTTTTGTGTTTTTACTTTTTTATTTACTATGTTTATTATGCTGTTTTTCTCCGTGGCCCAGTTGACCGCTCTCCACAATGTGGGTAATGTCAGGTTTTACTATTATTGTAAGGACAGTTGGTCAAAACCTGACCCACACGCATACACATGGTTGAGGAAATGTGGCTTTCAGCAAGCGGTCATGTGGGAAATTGACAAAGCTCCAGAGCAGAATGTAAAGACAGAGAGAGAGAGACAGAGATGTGCATGGCAGGGCTATAGTAACAGACCTTGTATTAGGATTTTTTTTCGTAACTACACACTCTCGCTCACTAATATCTGCCCTCAGTCAATCTCTCTCCACCAGCAGTGCAGAAAGTATCCAAAGCCTCTGGGCAGTCCTCTTCTGCCCTCTACTGTTCACAGCCCAAACAGCCAGTGTGATTTTTGACATTTTAATTCGCAGTCCCCTAGTGTAGTTTTAGGGTACATTCCATGTGACTGGTTTGACTCATGTATGTTTACAGAATTGTTTGTGTTTGTAAAATTGTTATTTGAATGCTTTAGAGAAGCATTTAGGAAGAGCAGTCAACCTCTGGATGGATGGATGGGCAGGGTGACTTTACAGTAGATCTCCCTTTGGCTTTGTAAAGCTCTGGATGTGTCACATGACCTGGATTGCATGTAGATTACATTGCCAGCCATTAATCAGTTCCATTTTTTTAAACAGAGCTTTTTTATTGATTGATTGGTTTTGTTAATATTTTGAATTAGATTTTATTTTTATATTTTCACATTGATTCAGTATAAAATGTTGTAGTAATTTTGTTGCTTTTGATATTTTTATTATTTTTTAATGTCTACATAGTTTTATTTGTTTGTATTTGTATATTTATTTATTTATTTATTTTCATTTTATTATTTTTATTTATTTCAAAGTTTTTTTAATATTTACACTTTTTATCATTTATATTGTTTTATTTTTGCATATTCTATGATTGTTTGTGTATTTTAGTCTTTTATGTATTTTTTTCCCCAAATATAATATTGTATATAATATTGTTAAATATAACATTGTGTGCTACTCAAAAATTAACTTAATAATATATTAATATTATGTAGTATAATATTATGTTTTTTACATTAAATTTAAATAATTTTACATTGAAATTTTTATTTACATCTGTTTTGGTTATGTATTTTGATACTCATCTCTTGTTGGAATTGTCCGCTGTTGTGGAGGAGACAGTCTTTGTGTGACCTGTTAACACAGATTGTGCTCTATACAGTGGAACTGGTAGGCAGTGAGCGTTGTAGCTCTCATACTTATCCCCCACCCATCGTCATTGGCAATTTAGCTGGTAATTATGTAAAGTGCTGCTGACTTCCATTTCCAGCAAGCCCCTGAAAACGCACATCTCCTCATTAGCATTCAAAATGAGCTTTGGAGCCGTTGATATCTCCTCAAAACACATCCAGCTGTGCTTTGCAATATTTGTGTGTGCGTACACCAGTCGCACACACTTCAATATGGTGTGGAAGACATAGCATCCTGGAAATAGTGTCTGCTCTGTTTGCTTTGAGAAAGGCTGTTTAAGATCAGAACGAGAGAGCTAGTAGTTCAAGACAGGGGATTAATATGCTCTTCATTAATGCTTAAGAGCTCCCTCGACACTCTGCAGGTGTGTAACAGCGTCAGCAGGGATGCTAGTTTTCTAATATGTGATGAATTGATCATTATATTTGTGAATTAATGCATGCTAATAGTTGCTTGAACACAACCCTGTTGTTCTCAGAGTGCTTCAACATGAACAAAGTCAATATAACTATATGCAAAGGATACTGATTGTTCTTTAACTGTCATTTTGGAGATCGAATAAATATTCTTGGTTACAATTTAATACATAATATAATTGAATGCAACTTGTTTTTAATATTAATCATCTGTTTATGTTATATATAACCTGAAATATTTCTGTAACAGCTCATAACAACAAAAATAATGAACACTTTTAGCCTAAAGTAACAATGTCAGTCAGCTCCTCTTTCAGCCAAAGGCACATTCTTCTTTCTTCTTCACTAAAACTCGAGGCAGGTATTTCACGGCTGGTTGCCTTTTTTAATCCATTTTCCCAGAATCCCCTCTCAGCTCTGTGCTGTAGCATTTTGGTCTGTTATGGGGCTGAAAATGAGAGACTTTGTTAGAAATGTTCCTTGTGTGTGACAGAGGAGCACCTCTGTGGTCATATGAGGAACTTGCTGTGATAGATGGAGCAGATGGCACTAACTAAATAAATAAATTATAAAAAGATTACAGGTGACAGTGTTGCATTAGGATATATGTAGATTGTTATAAGAAGAATTAAGAAGGGCATTCAGAACTATGCAATGCATTTATTCCACTACAGCACTAGTAAAGGAAGATTTGAGGACTTTGGTCTGTGCATGTGTTTAGGAGTGCATGTTTGAAGGGATTTATATGCTACAAGGTGTAAAAATAAGAATTATTTTTACTCATGTCACATTCAAATAATTTATACATATGTGAGAGGATTTTTTTTTAATCATGGTGTGTTTTATTCATCAAAAATAATTTATTCAGCCCTTTAATAATTTATTTTAAAGGGGTCATATGTTATATGTTTGAGTCATTTTTTTATTATTATTTAATGTCCTAATTTCATTTTTCATGACAGTTTCCACCCACTTTTGATCTGTAAATTGTATTCTGTCAGTACTCTGTATTCTGGCCCATTTTCATCACAAACACAACTAAATATGCACTCAAAAAAATGCTGGGTTGTTTCAACCCAACGTTGGGTCAAATATGGACTAACCCAGCTGTTGGGTTAAATTTTTGAATTAAAGTTTTAACCCAAAAGTTGGGTTAGTCCATATTTGACCCAAATTTGGGTTGAAACAACCCAGCATTTTTTAGAGTGTGTATATTTTGTAGTGTTGCTTGTTCTTAAAATGCATAATAGCCATTAAACACAATTTCTAATGTGACTAAATAGCATGAAACACATTCATAAGCCTGTTTTCTTATCAAAACCTTTCACATCCAGTTGGCGTGGACAACAAATCATTGGAGTTTTTGAATATCAATATTTTGAGCTCAGTGTGAAGGGCTTCATAGAAACTAGTTGTTTTGTTTAAATCAATGAACACAGTTGAATTGACTTAGTGTGAACAGGTTCAGTGAAAGTACTCTTCTCAAGGTCTGGGTTTAATATTTTTAATGCATTATGTGTGTCTGTTTTCTCCACAGAGGCATCTGTCCTAAGCTATGATGGCAGTATGTATATGAAGGTGGTGATGCCGACAGTAATACATACAGAGGCAGAGGATGTGTCTCTGCGGTTTATGTCCCAGCGTGCCTTTGGCCTGTTGATGGCTGCCACGTCACGTGAGTCCGCAGACACACTGCGACTAGAGCTGGACAGCGGCCGTGTCAAACTGACCGTCAATTTAGGTATCGTATACTGACTTATTTCTCTATCTGTCCCTATCTCTCTTCCTCGGTCGTCGGTTCCTCAGTTATTTCTTATATTTGCAAGTTACTGGATGTTATCATCTCTCTAACACTACAACTAAATTGTTATTGTTTTGTTGATCTGCATGGATTGCTCCTGTTTGTTTTTCGTTCTCTTGCTTTGTCTGCGGGTGATGTGGACAGACAAACTCTCTCATCATTGTCTCACATAACCTCTGACCTCATGGACGAAGCAGCACATCTGCACCAGTCATTCTCATACATGCTCATCGATTTACTTACATTGAAGCAACATATTTAAAAATAGTAATTTTTACAAATTTATTAAATGAAAACAGCATTTATATTAGGGCTGGGTGATATAGCTAAATATTATCTATCTTTAACATCCATCTATCTATCTATCTATCTTTCTATCTATCTATCTACAGTATCTATCTATCTGTCTGTCTGTCTGTCTGTCTGTCTGTCTTAGTTTCTTTCTTGTATGTCTTGTAAATAATAATCAAGTTGCATTTAATGTGACTTCACTAGTTGCAAAAAAAACAAACAAATCAAAACAAGAAACAGTTTTACACCAGTCTAGCAATACATGGTAATAAACAACATTTACCTATATTCAGTGGGGTTCAGACATCAGAGAAATGCTTCTATTTTGCATTTTCTTTTCAACTTAACAATTAACTGAACAATAAATAAATAAATTATTGACAATGAATTTAATGGCTTAGCTCTATCGGCATTTTTGCTATTGAGGTCTATATAACAGAAGATACAGTATTATAATATCATACAACAAAGAGTGGATGCAAACTGGCATACTGGCACAAACACAAACTGCATATATATTATAATTATTATTTACTTATTTATTTTTATTAAATATATCACCCAGCACAAAATTATATGCTATGGACAGGACTGCCTCTTTGTGATAATATTTCTGTATCTTTTTATGCTCTGTTCTTATGGTAAGATGGGTTTAACAATCAGTTATGCATCTTCTGTATAACATTTTTTTTTTCACGTTATCAGGAAAATATGTACGCATTCCCATCCCTCGCTCTTAACGGCATTTATCATGCCTTGTTCAAAGATGGTACTCATGCACCCTTCAAAGGCCTTTAGCCTGCGGCCCTGTAAACAAACAGCCCGAGACCAGAGCATCCAGCACACCTGCAGCTGGTGGCCAAAGCATCACCCACAAAACACACACAGTCATTTTTACTACCATCCGCCCATATACACACCATGTCACAAGAAAGAGCCAGATGATCAACATATTAAATATGCTGCAACATCAAAATTATAGTGATTTCAGTAAATTCAATAATAACTTCAATTTACTACATTTTTATATTAGTTGCAGTTTCAATGGTAAAATCTGTCATTTTCTATTCATGCACTTAGCATAAATAACAATCAGAACATTTCAGTATTCATTGCACCTAGTGTCTTAATTGATATGACTGTCTGTTTTTTGTTTTTTTGTTTTTTTTTATGAAGTACATGCTACAAGTCTGTGTGGTGCTGGTGCTTTTTGGACCGAGGCTGTTTGCTCCCACTTTTCTGTTGCGGTTGATGGCACATGATAAAAATGGCCTTATGGATTCCAACCTGGATGACAGTTCCAATTGTCATAACAATCTGCAGTTCTCTGTGAAATTCACACAATTGGTGGGGTAACCAATAATTTGGATGATTAATCAAAAAAAAAAGAGAAAGTATACCGGAGTTGATGAATCCTTTCGGCTTAGAGCAGGCAGCCATTTCATATGGATTACTACTATATAAATTGCATACTAAAAATATAAATCTACATCCTAAAAATAATAATAATAATTTAGAAAAAAAAAGATATAGCCAGCATATTTTGAATTGTTGTGTAATTAGCCTTAAGAATGATACACTTATAGTCATGTCTGCATGTTGTTATAAATAAAAAATAATAATTAGCAAAACAAGCTATATCAAACATACTGGCCGGAATGATTAAACAGCTGTTAGAAATTATCCAAAATGGCTGCTGCTCCATGTGCTCATCCCCGGAAAGTGGTGTTTCTGTTGTTGGATGTCTGCAGCTGTATCCTTGAAGGACACGATTTCATCTGCACTTGTTCTTCCCCATCTAGACTGTGGCAGGATAAACTGTAACACCAGTAAGTTTTTACTCAGTTTGTTCTATATACTCTTTTCTTACCCTGTTGGATTTATTTATTTATTTTTGTATTATTTTGAGATGAAACACAGATATTAGCTAATCCCACAGATGGTCAAAGTTTTAGCATTTTTATTAAACAGTGTTGTTAACCTATACTGCCAGTTAAACATTTGGACTCATTCTACTAATTTTTAATGATACTTTTCAATAGTTTAGATAAGGGGTTCTCAAATAAAATAAAAAAAAATGACTTAAGTTACTATTTCAATAGTTTAACAACACGGTTCGTGGCTGTCTAATGTTGCTTAATGGTCACATGACAAATAAAACAGCTAAAATGTTTAATATTATTTAATAAGTGTTTTATTTTGCTTGTTTTTATTTTAAAGGGATAGTTCACTCAAAAATGTGACCCTGGACCACAAAACCAGTCTTAAGTCGCTTGAGTATATTTTTAGCAATAGCCAAAAAAACATTGTATGGGTCAAAATTATCAATTTTTCTTTTATGCCAAAAATCATTAGGATATTAAAGGGTTAGTTCATCCAAAAATGAAAATTAGACTGTGTTTTACTTACCCTCAAAGCATCCTAGGTGTATATGACTTTCTTCTTTCAGACGAATCCAGTCGGAGTTATATTAAAAATGTTCCTGGCTATTCCAAGCTCTATCATTGCAGTCAGCGGGTGTTGCAGTTGAACAGTCCACAAGTCATCAAATAAAGCTCGCGCATTCATAATAAAATATGCCGCAGACGACTCCGGGGGACGAATAAAGGCCTCCTGTAGCGAATCCATGTGTTTTTTAAAGAAATATATCCATATTTTAAACGTAATAAACACTTTTCTCTCACTTCCGCTGACTGTCATACGCGAAAGCCGTTCCGGCAATATCCTAACAATACCATACATCAATGTTAAGCTTATTTATTCAGCTTTCAGAAGATGTATAAATCTCAATTTCATAAAGTTTACCCTTATGACTGGTTTTGTGGTCCAGGGTCACAAATGTGTCATCATTTACTCACCCTCATGTCGTTCCAAACCAGTATTAGTTTCTTTTTTCTGTTGAACATAGAAGATATTTTCAAGAATGCTGTTGATGGTCCCCATTGACTTCTATAGTATTTCCTTCCCTTCTATGTAGTTCAGAGGGGACCAAAAACTATTTGGTTCATCACAGTTCTTCAAAATATCTTCTTTTGTGTTCAACATAAGAAAGAAACTTATATAGGTTTGGAACAACATGAGGGTGAGTAAATGATGACAATTTTTTAATTTTCGGGTGAACTATTCCTTTAAAATTATTTATTTATATGGCTGCACATATACAATAATAATAATAATATTAAATAATTATAAAAATATATAAATATATTAGTGTTGTAAATTATAACTATACTGTAAAATTACAAATATTTTTTAGTAAAAAATTCAATACATTTATTCAAAGAATATTTGATAATTGTAGGCTTAATAAGGAATTTACAATAGTACAATTACAATACTAATATTTATGTTTTGAATTCCTCACTTTCAAATGTTCAAACCTTAGTTTTTTATATGCTGGTCCAAAAAGTCCAATTTTTTGATTGGTAGTGCACATGTTTTACACGCTGTTAAATGTTAATATTTAAGCATTTTTAAATAATGCTGTTTTAACCGTTTTGTAATGAAAAATCTTACTAACTGCTTAAGTCTCCTGTTCCTCATACCCTTCCTCATCAGATATTTTTAAAGTTATTATTATTATTATTATTATTATTATTGAGCTCAGCAGTCAGGTTCCAGAAGTAAAATCCCATTCTTTTTCTCTATAAAGAAATTAATTTAGTCAGATTAGTACAGATCTACTATAAGCTCTGAGGATGTTACATTTTGAAATATGCTTCTGTAGAAGCCACAAGTCTGTGTGATTTCAAATTTAGTCACCCATTACTCTGATAAATTGCTGTTAACATTGAAAGAAAACTGCTGCAAAATGTGGCTCATATATAGTAAATAGTTTTATTTTTTACTATGATTTCTATCATAATTATACTTACATATTTCTTGCATCTTTGTCTGTTTTTTAAAACAATTTTCAATTGCAATTTTGCTTCAAATCAAATGTTGTAATGCGAATTATTTTGGAGCTGCTTAGTTTGGTTCATGACTTGACACGACTTTGAATAAGATTTTTCTTCTCTATAGAGAAAATGAAGATGAAAAAGTGGGTGGTTACCATTGCACTCCACTTAAGTAACAGTTTGATATTAGTTTTCTGTGTGAATCACAGTTGTCTTCCTCAAGAGGGCACTTGTGTGCCCATACTAGTAATCTCTGTGAATTGATTTAAAAACATAACAAAACAAACAACCAACAACAACAACAAAAAACAATCATCCAGTACAAACAACAGTGACTGAGACAGATAAGTAGTTAGAAAAGTAAGAGGTAGTACCACATGACCATGCTGTCTAATGTGCTGTTGCAGAAGTCATCAGGAAAATGATTTTACACCCTGAAAGTTGACTCTGAAAAATTGTAATAGCCACTGAATTGACTGTACACATGGAAGAGTTAAAAAAAGGACAATTACAATTTAGAACCATCTTACCTGACCAGAACACAAGACTTTGGGCCTGTGTATATAAAGGGCTGTATGCTGTTAACTCGATAGTAATGAAAGATATTTAAGACTACGTTACATTTTACATGGTTATATTTATAAAAAAATCTATAACACTTTAGTATAGGGACCAATTCTCACTATTGACCAGTTGCTTATTACCATGCCTATTATAAACATATTGGCTGTTTATTAGTACTTATAAAGCACACATTCAGCATGACCATATTCTACATCCCTAAACCTACCCAATACCTAAACTTAACAACTATCTTGCTATTAATAAGCAGCAAATTAGAAGTTTATTGAGGCTAAAGTTAAAGAGAGCAAAAGTAGTTAATGGTTTGTTAATAGAGTATTGCACCTAAGTGTGACCAAGTGTTTGATTTGTTAATTAAAATAAAAGCAAAACACACACACACACACACACACACACGATGTGTTTCCACAGGCGTAATTTTTTTTTAATACTGTACAAACTGTATTTTCTATCGCCCTATCCCAATCCTACACCTAAACCTACCCGTCACAGGGAACTTTCTTAATTTTTAGATTTTCAAAAAAGCTTCATTCTATATGATTTATAAGCTTGCTTCATCATGGGGACCTAAAAAATGTCCCCACAAGGTCAAAATTTACTGGTATTACTATCCTTGTGGGAATTGGTCCATAACGTAGTGAATACCAGGCACACACACACACACACCAGTTCTATGCCTGCCACTCTTATCAATAAATGAAGGGGGGTAAAAAACATTATTTGTAAATAATGAGGAAAAAGGCAAATTTATAATCAAATTCAGATGGGACTTTCAATAATAGTAAAGTAATTGGCTTTCCTAATGTGGTCTAATACATCACCATTTTAAACTATGAAAACTCTAAAATCTCTTGCTTGTCTAGATTTGTATAAACACACAGGTCAGATCATTTAGATCTCTGTAGCTTTTGGAGTCAATTATAGGTTTTTGTTTATTAAGCATGTTCTTCAATTAACAGCCGAATGGCTGAAAAGAAAGTGGTAATGTAGTGCTGATTAACCATTTTAATTCTACAATGCTTTTAGAGAGGCACTTTGCCTTGTGCGATAATTTGAAGTTTAAATACTCAATATATTTGAGCCGCTTATGTTAATGGCACCAGTAAATCAGTACAACAATCAGTGCTCTCAACCAGTACTTTTTAGTGCAGACTATGTATTTGTATTACAGTGCACCCTTAAAAGAAATAAATGTCCACGGCTATGTTTGGAACGGATTACTAGCATACTAGTATACTTGCCATTTCTGCAGTATAGATAAGCTACAGTATTTAAACACATAGCTCAGCCAAACCTTAGTTTTGTTTCATGTCTTGGACTTTTCTGGGTAATAGCAAATGTTGATTTTCCTTGGAACTATTGATGTACCACAAGTAAAATATGTCTGTGATCTATCATCCGAATGACAGAAGTTTGAAAATGTAAATACACATGATATGATTTATTAAAATATTGAGATGACAGAAATTTGATTTGCAGTGCTAGTGTGTGTAAACACTAACTGACTCACATCATTCTCAGGTAAAGGACCAGAGACATTGTACGCTGGCCAAAAAGTGAACGACAATGACTGGCACTCAGTCAAAGTGATGCGGCGTGGTAAAAACCTCAAACTCATGGTGGATGATGATGTAGCTGAAGGTACGAATGCAGTATAATCTTTTCAGAACAGCTTTTCAGCGGCTGCCCCCATGTAATGCATAAATCCAACACTTAATAATCACTTTACCAAGACCTCCTACTCCTCTTTCACAGGTCAGATGAATGGTGACCACACTCGGCTGGAGTTCAGTAACATCGAGACTGGAATCCTGACAGAACGGCGCTTTGCCTCCACGGCTCCATCCAACTTCATTGGTCACCTGCAAGGCCTGAAGTTCAACGGCCTCCTCTATATTGACATGTGCAAAAACGGAGACATCGAATTCTGCGAGCTCAATGCTCGTTTCGGCATGCGCTCCATTGTGGCCGATCCAGTTACATTCAAGACCAAAGGAAGCTATCTGGGTCTTGCTACACTCCAGGCTTACAGCACCATGCACCTCTTCTTTCAGTTCAAAACTACCTCGGGTGATGGATTCATTCTCTTCAACAGTGGAGATGGGAATGATTTTATTGCCGTGGAGCTTGTCAAGGGGTGAGTGGAAGTACAGCAAAATTTCCAGAGAATCTGTTTTTACCAAATTACCATTTTATTGAGGTTGACAGGAAAGGTTGGGAGGCCATTCTGCGGTGTTGGAAGTCAACTTCAGTCAGGCCGAGACATGTTTACTCTAAAGTGGCTAAACGTATGTTCATTTTCAAGATTGCCAAACTACTACACACCTCAGAATACCTTGAACAGCTAATTGTAGGGAATTTGATTGTTGAATATGTTCACCAAAAAGATTTGTTCTGATCCATTCAGTGAGTCTTGCTGTAATCATTACATCTGTGGGTGGAACAGCTAGTATTGGGTATTTTTGTTTTACCCCAGTGACACAAAGATTTTAAATCAGTTCACCAAACAGATTCATTCACACCAGCAGGTGGCGACTAGTGACTGTCTTTTTGAGTATTATGCGAGTCATCATACTCTTGAAGGTTACCAAAACAGGCACTAATTTAAAACATAGATTTAAAAACGTTTGACCAACATCACTCTTAGTTTCCAGAGCCTTCTCGACTTATAACAAGTTAAGAAAAAAAAGTCTGAAATTGAATTTAAATTCAGATTTAAATCAGTCATTTCAGTTTTTTTTTATTATTTAAAACATTTTAAGATATGTTTTCATTATTATTTCATTATTTTCATTATTCCTTATTAATGTTGATTATCGAAATTAACGTTGATTACCGAGAAATTAACTGAAACAAGTGTCAGAAACAACTTTTATTATCTATGACTAATTACCACAGAGTTTATAATGGTATGTTTTAAAATGCAAGTTATTTAGATCAAGTTGTAATGTGGAGAGAATCATCATAAAATCAAATGTTTAATATCATGTACATATTTTACCTTACGTATCTGATCTAATTGTACACAATTCAACAGCACACATTCTGCAGAAAAACACTTTTTTTTTTTTTATAATCTTTATCAAAATGTACTATTTATGCTTCTTAAACAACTTTTTTTGTTGATGTAACCGGGACTGTGCAGGCAGAAGAAAAATGATGTTGACCCAGTAAAATCAAATAATACTGATCATAGCCCAATTTATTCAGTCAAATCCAGATGGCACCCCATCCTCTATTATTTCCTGCTAAATATTTCACTCTTCATGTTTTCTTCAGTGTAAGACACTGTGTAAGGCTGACACAATTCCTCCACAACAGAGCATTTACCCCTAGCAAATATTCTTAGAGGATTTTAGCATTGTATGCTTAGTAAAGTAAATGAAAAACAAAAACATTTAAACCAACTACTTGGTATAGAGTACACTGGTGAATGCAGAAGCATGGTTAGCCTAGCCCTAGTCCATCCAAACAGAATGATCCACTTGGCCTGTGGTCAACCCTCCAGCAGGACATATACCCTGTTCCTCTTTAAAACGAGTGTCCACTCTTATTGTCATCTAATAGAGAGCCTCTCAGCTGATCAGCTGAGTTTGCTTCAGTATGTACTTTGGCTGAGTGTTCTTCAGTGAAGTGCACTTGAAAGGATTTGGGACATGGACACATTTGAGCTCAGTGTGTATGTGTGTTTGTCAGGTATATTCACTATGTGTTTGACCTGGGAAATGGACCGAGTCTTCTGAAGGGAAACAGCGACAGTCCTCTTAACGACAACCAGTGGCACAATGTGGTGATCACTCGAGACGCCAGCAACACACACACTCTAAAAGTGGACGCCAAGTCTGTCAGCCAGGTGGTCAACGGAGCGAAAAATCTGGACCTGAAAGGTCAGCCATACAGATTCGCTTAACCTTTTGGTGACATTTTTGATTGTGCATTTGACATTTCATATAAAAAAATAAATAAAAAACAGATTGGTATATTTATGTGAACAGGAAATGTTGCATACTGAGTACATAAACCTCACTATATGCCAATGTAGGAAGAAAATGGAAGTTATAGTTTAATTTTTTCACTCTTTGCAGGTGAGCTGTTTGTGGCCGGTTTGGGACCGAACATGTACCAGAATCTGCCAAAGCTGGTGGTGTCTCGTGAGGGTTTCCAGGGCTGCTTAGCTTCCATGGATCTCAACGGCCGCCTGCCTGACCTCATCAATGATGCTCTGTTCCGCAGTGGGCAGATCGAACGTGGCTGTGAAGGTATGCGTCATTCTCTACAATTCAATCTAAATGTCTACCAATCCCTGGCACACTGCTCTGTGTTTTAACCATTAAATTCAAACCTGATTTAACCTTTGCACCTATTTTCCTCTATAATCATTTTCTTTTACTTATATTTTAATTATATTTTTGTGCCTCGCTGGAATTCTGGGTATTCTCTGTTGTTTTGTTGATATGAGAGCCCCTATAACCACTAGATGGCACCTTGACCGAGGGCATGTTAACAGCATTTTTTTTTTGTGATTTGAGGTAGTCATCTCATCATTATCCTTGCCTTACTAAAATTTTTACCCAAGTTACTCTCTCATTATCCTTCGCACACACACACACACATTTTCCACTCTCTTGACTTGACATTCCCTCCACTAACCAGCCTCTGTTTTATTATCCAATTATTTCCGAAATTTCCTGCTAACAAAGTTGGTTTCACCAAAGCTGACCTGCAAGGTAGAGGGTTCGACCTTTTTACCTCATACACACACATACACACACACACACACACACCTGGCTGAAAGTTGCAATGAGTTTTTACATTAATGGTCCTCCAGTAAAACAACTACTAAAACAACCGAACACTTTTTAATACATGTATTAAATACATGTATTCAACACATTTCTATCTATCTATCTATCTATCTATCTATCAATTATAGCATGTTGCAGTATTTTGTACATATATATTTTTTACACGACTTTTCATTTAGTCCAGAGCTGACGTGCAGTAGCTGAGGGGAACTAAGATTGAATCCAATCCCTATAAATATCCTCCTTAAAGAACATTCCATCTCAAAGCTTTCCACTGAAGGCACATCAAAATCGAGACATTGTCTAGTGTCCCGCTGTTCTACAGCAATTGGCCACAATTCTCTCCCCTACTGAAGCATTTTAATGGATGTTTTGACAATTACTCATTTATATTGTGTTGAGAGCATCCAAGAGTAGTTCAGTTGGGGAATCATTAGAGGCGGAAACCAGCAAGAGAAAAGAAAGAATTCTTCCATTGCTTTCCTGACTCAATAAAAGCACTTTCAGCCAGTGGAGCCTTTCATACATCCGCACTCAGGTCTTTGCTCTTGTTTTGAATGCATGTCTGTCAGTTTGGTTTCTTTTGTTTATGATCTGAGCTGCTGGAATTGACATGTCATTATGGTTTTAATGAATCTCGGATCGAATGTAAACAATTGTTTGCATTCCCTCTTAAAGATTCAATAATTGTCTTTTATGAAGTGCAGAAGAATGAAATGTGCATAGATGGTGTATTCACAGATTTTTTTTTTCTCAACGTGGCTGTTTTTGTATCTCGAAAGAGATATTCTTCACTGCTTAAAAAAAAAAAAAAAAACTTTTCTTAATCAATATTTTTCTCTGGTTTTCCAGTACATAATACTATATGTAAGAAATTAGGACTTGCTTCCAGTTAATATATTTTGGGTTATTTATTTTTCTGAAATGTTAGTATAAACCCCAACATGGGTATCACTGGGGACAGCTGGAATGTCACAAAATGGCTTAGCTTAGCTAATGAATATTAATTAGGTCATACACAAATAATTTAGCAAGATCTTTGCTATTTTGAAAAATGTGTGACTTATTCATCTGTACATGAGGATTTAACTTCATACTTGCATCTACCTGTGTTAGATTTTCAGGGATCCATGGTACTAATCTGTATCAACAGACCTTTTTATTGTAATAAACCAAAATTGCATCTGTAAGTTAGTGACTGTGTATCAGTAGTTGGGAACACATTTGTTTAGTCATTTTGTATAGTGATTTCACTAGAATGGATACCAGCCATGAGAAAGAGATAGATTAGAATATGAGAGCTGTGGGCTGGAGTAAACATTGTTGCTGTCACTTTCTGTAACTGATAAACTGCCAGACTGCTCAGCAAAACAACAATCATAAGTAAATCCAGTGCTGTATTGTCAGTCATTATAACACACACTGGATTAGATACATCCCTGTTGTAGATACACATCTTTCTGCAGGCCATTTCAATAAGTTGTACAGACCATGCAAGTGCCCATAGGTGGGTTACAAAGTTAAAGTGATTTGTATTAAATTTGTCATATCTCCTCAACATGGCAACCCAGATGAGGTGACCCACTCAATGTCATTATTGCCATTTTAATGTAGAAATTTAGACAATATTTTATATTTTTCATTTTACCTTACAGTAGTCAACAATATTCGTTGCAATGCTTGCAATGCAGAAATACAATAAGTAACAGAACATTAAATGAAAACCTGTTTAAAAAAATACTGGAGAAACAAGACCAACATACTGAATAAGAAAATGTTTTTATTTTTATTTATTTATTATTTTATTTGCATGTCTGAATGTTCAACTATTACAGTGTTGCTCAGTATTCAGGATGCATGCACTATCATGAATCTGTTTACCGAGCGTTGATGCTGACCCGTGAATGACCTTGCATGCATGCTAGTCTTGCTGTGCTGCCTGTGACAGAGATGCCTGCTGAAATCTGTCATTACTATTGACTCATGCTGTTCCTGTCACCTCCACATCAGGGCCCAGCACTACATGCCAGGAGGATTCGTGCGCCAACATGGGTGTGTGCATCCAGCAGTGGGAGAACTTCACCTGCGACTGCTCCATGACCTCTTACTCTGGCACCCAGTGCAATGACCGTGAGTGACCCAGTTACACTTTATTTTGCTGATTGTAATATCAAGTTGATTTTTGGTGTTGCTTTGTCATTAAGAAAATCTAATTACGTGGGCTATGCTTTGAACAAGTCTGATTATTGGCTGCATCTAAAATAGAGGTATCAGATTTTTATTGATGATTATTGTAGCCAAAAGAATTTGTGATTATCATGATATTATCAAAACATCTATACAAATTTTGAATAATCATATTTAACTTTGTTAAACTGTTCCATACGTTCCACAAGTACGATATGTTAATATGTTTGTTGGCTACAGTTCCTGGAGCAACACTTGGAACAGGCAACCAATCATTGCATTCTAATTTTGGGGGAGGGGTTACAGGAAAGGATGTGATTGGCTAATAGAAATATTGCTCTCAGTAACAACAAAGGATGCTGAATTAGGAAAATGTCCTTCTTTTGTAAAAGTGGTTTTGGGTGAGTGAATGATAGTAGAACGACAGTGAGGAATGTGTGGTCCATCTATCCAGTCAGCAGACAGGGTAATAAACTGTGAGCAGTTGTAATGAGGTGCAGTAAATGTTCAAATGTCAAATTAGCCCAGCAGCCTCTCAAACATGGCAACGCATATGTAGAAATCCTTCTCCTCTAACTCTCTTTTTTATTTCTCCCTCTCTTTTTCTGTCTCCATTAATGAAGAATAAGCTGGCGTCTGTTTCTTTAATGATGTCTCCCATGTTTAACCTCTGGCAGTTGTACGCCGTTTCATCACTCTGACATTTCTAATCATAGAGGCAAATTCAATTTCACCCCGAAAAATGGGCTCTTGAGCTTGCGAGACGATTCTGTGTAGGGTCACGGCAGTTACAGTGAGTGCCACAGCCTTGTAGGCTTGTAATATTAAAGCAATGATCATTCATAAGCCAAAAGTTTGTTCTTTCATTAATAAATAATTCAGTATAAAAATGTCTTGCAAGGTGACAAGGTTTTAGTGTGTGTGTGTATATGTATGTGTAAATTTATCATATCCATAATTAAGCTTGACTAATTCATCCTTAATTATCCATTCTTAATGAAGCATAATCAAACTCTTTTGTTCCGGAACAATGGAGAATTATTGTTTGTTGAAATTCTGCACTTTAAAACAATCTTTTTTTTTTTCTTTAAAAAAAAAATAATAATAATAATAATTGTTTTATTTTTAGCCAAGAAAGTTATTTTTAAATGTTCAGGGCAAAAAAATGTGAATTAGGACAAGTAATGAGTAAGCAGAGATGTAAAAAAAAAAAATAAAAAATCTCATCTGTAATTATTTATGCTTAATTTTTGGCACAGGGGATAGAAGGTCAAGTTGAGTGCATTGCATTGAGTCTGTGCAGTCTGCATTTTGGGATGCTGCACATTTGTGGCAAATGTGTTGTCATGTCATCTGTATTTTAGGCATGCAGAAATATGTTTACTGTAGCCAGTTTACATGCTATGTATTTCAGAATAAGGTAAAGTAGTATGCAAGTATGCTATTTTGAACATAGCCTCTAGGTGGCAGCTGTGTGCCTGTCAAGCCAACACTAGCATGCACCACAGAATCAAACTGGAACACAATCCCCAGAGCATGCAATCAGTTCTGCTTGTATTTTCATCACTGTCTTCATCTTTTGCCAAACACATGTAAACAGACACATGCACAAACACACTCACGCATCAAGCGCTCGTCCTCTCGCTTCCGACATAAACGGTCGAAATTGTAAGTGGGCATGATTTCTTTTCTCAGTTTGATATCCAGAAACACAATGGCACACCATACAATGCCAAAAACTGGCACACTCCAGAGCAGAACAGGGGCCAGCGGTGTTTGTGGCCAGAGAAATCGCAACCCTGCGTGAGAGTGATTCTAATTAGCGGTTGTAGTTACTCCTGCGTGCTTGTGGGAGAAAGAGAACATGGAGCAGCCTTTAATAACTCAAATCCGACTCAGTCCAACAGCCTAAATTAATCAGGTAGACAGACAGGCAGAGAGAGTGAGAGAGACCAAAAATGAGAACATTGTGTGTGCGGTTAAAAATGGTGGACTCAGTCCGTAACCTAGATTTCAGCTGCAGGTTTTAAAGCACGTTGTTCGAGCCAGAAGCTTTCTGCAGTTTTTTTGTCCGTGTTCATAAATCCTTCTATTGTGTTATGCTGAAGTCGGAGAGAATAGAAGGTGAATACGGCAGCGTATTCATCACGCTAGCCGAGCAACACAACAGAACGCTCAGCTAAAGCTCCAACGGACACCTCAGCCTCCAGGGCACCATCTTCAGCCAACTCAACACCTATTTATGAAGACCACAATACTTCTGTGTATTCCAGCATTCCGCAACAAAAGTTGCATGCTTAGCCACAGCATGTGTGCAAATAAGCTAAATTTGCTAATAGGGTATTTAATTCCAAGAGAAATGCTAGATTCATTGTTTTGTTCTACAGTGAGCTCCTCCCCTTCCAGCTTTATCACTATCCCGGCATTTAATTTATCTCAAGGACGTTTGAGCTATAGGCTCAATCCAGAACACTGACCGAGGCAATTATTCAACTTGCGTAATTGAATTAGCACATTCTATCCGTTATTTGCCCGCCTCCTCTCACAGAGGTCGCTCTTTATTGTTTATAAGCCGTTTGAGAGGCATTCTGCACACGCACAATCACATACGCAACAAATCATAGAAACACAGGGAGAGTGAATCAGTTAATGTTGGCATTTGTAATCGTTTGGACCAATTTGCAATGAATCTTATTGTGAGGCTGTAATCCTGCTGACAGTCAGAATGTGCTCGATCGATTTCCTTCGAAAAATGCTGTTTGCTTTGGTGCTAGTTATTACACAAAATCAAATATCACAATAATAAACTCACAGCTTGAGAAGATGGAAAAATAAATTTAGAGATTCCTTCAGTAATGTCCTCAAGCGTGTTTACCTGATTTATCTCTGTTATCCAGTTTTAAATAAAATGAGAACCCACCCAATATCTACTGTACCAACCTGTCCGTAAACCACATGTCAACATTATTATACTAAAACCAAGTTGAATTGAATGTCATTTCAAAACATTTTTGGTAATAATTTGGGATAGCATGAGGGTAAGTAAATGGAGTATCCCTGTAATAGGATGGGGTGCTTCCTATTTTCGAAAGAGTGTCACCTGATGTGATCATAAAAGAACAATGGGAGTGCTCTTCCAGATGTGGTTGGCACTTTTAGATTAAAGCTCTTCATTACAAATTGGGGTCTAGTGCAGATACATGAAGCAAATAGGACAGGGAGTGTCTCGCCTTTTGGGGTCCCTGGAAGTCTAGGGCCCCAGGGCCCAGTCGGTAATCTTACCCTGCCAGCAGGCTTTAATAAAGTGATGTATTTCATCTTGTAGATGGTGTGATGGTTTGAGCTATGCTCCCCAGACTCATTGAAGTGTAGACTCAGCATCTGCTGTTGCACTAAGGTGTGATGGAGATGTCCAACACCTCATTATTCATGATTGAGCTGTGGGTGAGAAACACCCCTGAAAGAGCTACCCAAGGCCCTCTCTCTCTCTTCTGTGTCTCAAATGAAATAAGGGCAACACATTTTTATGGCTGGACATTTGTAACCCCCAGCATATGTACTTGAGGAGTCCCGCCTCTCCCTCCAGCACATGAATAATGCATAAGGCTCCTACATAATACATGACGGTGGAATGCGGGTGAAGGCAAACAGGTGTTCATGTGCCCCTGTTCCCTGGGATCCGGTTCTGGTTCAGTGTCAGTCACAGATGGAGAGGAAGACATGCCAGCTAGCTTCAATCAAGAGATTCTGCTTTTTGTGGCTATGTTTCAGGAAGAGATCCTCCTCACCACATCGCTATGAAAAACAGGGCCTCATCTAGCCACAAGGAAATGCAATATTATATCTGAGAGGCACCGCTTTCATGGTGCAAAAAGAAGCTCTTGTGCTTTGATGCTAAATGACAGATAGCGTAGCACTTTGCGGCGAGCGAGGCTTCTTGTTGGGGCTCTAGGGAGAGCAGCGTTACCCCTTCAAACAGATGCTTTTACACCCACGCACAAGCTAGCGAGAACGTAGATGTCTCTATTAAAACAGAATGTTTCAGGTGGAATGTGCAACAAAGTGCAAAAAAGACTCACTGCTGATCATTGAAGGAAAGGAATAGTCTTAACTGTAATGCCACATGTCTGTTCATTTGCTAGCAACATGATAGGTAAAGGGTTTAGGAATAGATCAGCAAAAAAATAAAAAA